TGTAGTTGTCAGCAAAATGAATTGTTACATGTGAGGGGCAAACACAATTGAATTACTGCAATCTTAGCAGCCCTATAGTGTGTTTGTATTGTCTCAGTCATTACAAAGGCAAAGTTCATGCTGTGAACAGAATTTTTTATTTTGTACATAGGGCTTGATGGTCTTTGCTCTGTGTATGAAGCAGTACCTCATCGTATACTTGGTCATTGCCAATAATACTCTCCAGAAACTCCAAAGTGTGCAGAGACAGTGGAGTCACTGGAGAATACTTTCTTTTCCCTTGTTACAGTTGGCTATTCCTGCTTTCTCAGTAAATTTAAAAAAGAGTTGAGTTGCCTTTTGACCTCAAAACAACTGAAAGTTTTAAGGTAAATAAATAGCTTTCCCTTAGCTGAAACTATAATATTGTCTAGTGCCTCAAAAACATCCATGAAAGCACTGAAGTACCTGCATATGCCTGGAAGCAGATGTCTGGCTAATGTTTCTTGTTTGTTAGAAAGTGTGTAGTTACTTAACCTCTTGCGTATTTATCTAAGACTGGAAAAATTCAAACTTCAGTAGCACCTCTGCAGCGCTTTTAAAAGCATCTGCATAAACCCAGGCTGAGTCCTTGTACTGCAGGTGTAGGTGTAAGCTTTAGAGGAGCATCAACGCCTGTAAAAACTGCAGTGGTTTCAGTGCAGCAATGAGCTTATGCCCACTTTGGAACCCTGTTACACTGCTGGAGTGCTTTAGAGAAGCACAGGTTGGGACGAGAATCAGGCCCTTAATTTTCCCGTTAAGTGAGCACGGCTGTTGCAGCTGTCTGTGTGTGCAGGGGGAACTGGCAGAGTCAGGTAACTTCTGTGGTGTAACTTTGGGGCAGTGTGACAAGCATTTATTTGTGCAGCAATGCCACATCCGATGCTGCCTGCCCTGGTGTTCTCACTTGTGCTACTGCAAATGTTCCCAGGGCAACTGAGTGGCTTAGGTCAGAAAACTTGATTCAGGTGAAGAAAAACCCAGGGTGAAACTTTTTTTCCTTTCTTTCGTAGTACTGGTCTACTCTGTGGTGTAGTGTGTTGCGTAGTTTTGGCAAGGTAAGAGAAGCTGGGTGAGGGAACAGAAACAGGAGTGTGAGTTAGGCTGGCAGTGCCTCTGAAAGAACCAGTTGTTGAACTACAGCCCTAAAAACAAATGGAGTAAGATTCCCTCAAGTAATAAAAATCATGGTCACTTTTTGAGTTTTGTTCCCCATAATCTATGGTATCATCCAGACTGAACTGCAGTCAGCTCACCTCCTGCTTTACTCAACACCGAGAAGACACTTGGGCACAGTGATGATGTGAGGTGTAAAATAGGGATGAGTGACTGTGAATGTTACCAATCCCTCCTAAAAAAGAGAGATCTCCTCTCATCTCCTAAAACCTTACCTAGATCTTGACAAGCTGGCTTGGGATTTTGGTACCTCACGTATGTGAGGCAGATGAAGGAAGGCAAGTCATGTATCTGAATGATCTGCCTATTTAAACAAGTTTTGTGGAAGGAAGCACGTAACTTCATCCTCATGAAAATGCACCTGACTGGAGTGTGTACTCAGTGTAGCTGCTCTTTCTGTAGCTTATGAGTTACATGTGATCCCTCCGTGTGATACCCCTACAAAATATTAATGTATTACTTTATAACAGATAGCGGAGTGGGTGAGCTTGTGCCCTTTACAATGGTTTTGGTGTGCCTGTGCCTTTCCTGCTGTGACCTTGAAGGGATGGGCTTGTTAGGACAGTGTATTCGCTTAAGGACAGATTTGTGGGTCCTTGGCGGGGAGGGTGGGGGGGAAGAATTGGCTGGAGGTGATGGAGGCAGTTTTTAAAGGGCAGTGTACAAAGTCCATGAGATCAAACTTTCCACTGTGCCTGTGCCTGGCCAGGTGCTTAGGCTGGTACCCCACATATACAAGGATACCCCACAAATACTGGAGGGACAGCAGTATCAGTCCCCGCAGCCAAAAGAGGTATTTCTAAAAGCAGGTATTTACCTCATGGTAGGGAAAAGGTTGAATTATTCATAGGGACAAAGCCTGCAGGTGTGTGTCATGTTCATTTTAGCACTGAGCTGAAGCTTTCTTGACCTATGTTCAGTGTAATTAAAAGCAAATCCCTCAAATCTAAGAACTGTTTGGAAAGGATTCTGTAATGCTAGGGCAGCCTGTATAGACATGTTCTCATGCCTGCCCTAATTGTATGGATTTGGTTGTAGGAGCTGCTGGACTCCAGCATTTCCATTGATTTGTCACAGTCTACAAATCCTGGAGTTTCTTAACACCATGAGGAGTAGAAATGACTTGAAGAAAATAATTGTGCGTATTTACTGTGACTGCATTATGCACAATTTTATTGCATTTATATTAAAATAAGTTGAGATGTATTTTTCTTTTTTTACACTGCTTTCAGGCTGTTTCCCTTTTGCCTAAATGAAACCCTTTTGATGCTTTTGCTTGTCTGGCTGGCTGTAAACCAGGTATTTAAACAAAAGTAAAGAGTTGCCAGTTTTGCCAGCTGGGGATGAGAACCCGGCTGGTGATACGCGGGTTCGGGAGGCAGTTAATCCAGCTTTTATGCTTTTTTATGATTTTATGTAAAAAGAGGTTAAAAATCACATTTGGCTCTTTCTTTGTACCACTGTTTTGTTGCTGTTGTGGGAATGCAGCAAAAGGTTGCTCATACTTTTTATTATTATTAGGTAAAGTCCTGCATAAATTAGGTAAAGCCCCAGATACAGTTTGCTTTAGCTGTTGGCCATGTGATTTGCCTTGTTCAGAGAATGATATGTTTTATCTTCCTGTTGCCTTCTTTTATAAATCACACATGCAAACCAAACCTCAACTTACTTGTAAAAAGAATCTACCACTGCCTCGCAATTTTATATATTTTACTAGCTTCAAAAGAAAAGAGTAGCTAACTGTACAAATAGGAGAAATAGTAACAGTAGAAAAATATATAATGCTTTTATTTTGTGGCAGAAGAAATGGTGATTTAAAGACAAGCATCACAGATTTCGTATATAGTTTTCCAGCAAATAGCTCACAATATGCTCAAACTCAAAAACCATTTAAATAATTTTAAAATGCAGGAGATATTTTAGTTAGTTTTGTCGTATGTACTTATTCAGATAATTTGTTGTGTTTTACACTTTCCAAAATTTCACCTTCTATTTGGAAATATCAATGATGTAACGAGTCTGTGTATTTTGGCACAGTTGTAAATAGTATGTGTTAACGTGTTAATATTTATGATTTTTTAATCTTACATACACAAGGGGCATTTGTAATAGACTTCTTTTCATCATGTTTCTACTACTGATCCTTAAGGGCAGCGAAAACTAGGAATAGGAATGCGTGAATTACTGTGGGATTGTCAAAATTGCCGTACTGGATCAGATTGAGTTTTGTTTCTGCTAATAGCATGTACCAGATACTTCAGAGCAGGCTTGGATTTACTAGGGGAGGAAAAGGAGAGGCGGATGAATGAGCTCGACACCCCTGGTTAGGACTGACTAGGGCAGTGCATGTGTCCTGTGATGTGGTCACGGCCACTTAGTGTCCCCAGATGGGTGAGCACTGTGTCTGCCCTTGCTTCAGAGGAATTTGTTGCAAGTCATCTTACACTTTTTGGACAATCACAAGATAATGTACTCATGGCAAAAGTTTATTTCACTACTATCTATCTAAATGACTGTTCGTGTGTGTCTACTTACAGTTTGAATCTGGATGAGCTCTTTGTGGTGGTGATTGTATGTGTCTGTGTGTTGTAAAAAGTATTTTGTTTTCTGTGGATCAGTTTGTTGTTTTTTTTTAATCAGTCGTATGTACTGCCTTTCAGAATCTGCCTTTTAAAATATAATCCAACTCTAGTAGTTGCATTTCTTTGTTCTAATTGTTTGTTATTTAAGTCTTAGTTTCTTGTTTAAGGTTTTTATCTCTTAGAACTTTCTGCAGCAAATATTGGCAGTTTGGTACATACAGTTGTAGTGCCTCCTGTATTACCATCTATTAACTTCTAACTATTGCACCTTGTTGGAATGCAAGGGTATGCTCTTCTAGAAATTCACAGAAATTGGAATTATATATGTATATGTTCAGTAGCCTTCAGTTTCCTTACTGCTTACAGTTTCATTATGGCTGTATGCTGCTGTTAGGTTGTCTCCATTTCTGCAGTTTAATAAGAAGGTGTATTAAGATCAAGACACACTGCTTAGATTCCTTATTCCAATTCTCTGGGGCTGCTGGGAGAAGAGCTGTGAAGTAGGTTGTTTTTAGGTACACAACATTGGAGGCATTATGTTAACAAATTATATACGTTACCATATTTCTGTGAACGTATAATATCATATAAACAGAGTATCATAGTAAACATAGTAGCATATAAATGTCATATTTCTTTGCATTAGCACAGTTAAGCTGTTTGGACTGCTTCATGGAACATAATGAAACTGTCAGGAGAAATGCATTGAGGACTTTTAGTATAAACAAATATCATAAAGAAGCTAAGCTTGTCTTAGTAGAATTATGGTGTTTCTACATCTAAGGCTTTATTCTTGTGGGTGAGGTAAGGAGAGAGGAAGTGACTGAACAAGGAGATGCTTCACTTCTCCCAGAAGAATGGTAACCGAGGCGCTGGTGCCCGTAGATAGTGTCTCTTCCTAAAGCTGTGTACACTATAAACGGGGTGGTAGAGGACATAGGCAAGGGGAAAATGCAGTCATGATCATTTTGAATAGGTCATTTTCAATTTTTTATTTTGCTTCTGGCAGTACAGTCCCCAGTATGCGTGGAATTTCAGTGAGCTCAGGTGTGTGAGTCAGTACTGCAGTTGCATGTATTGAGCCAGGTTCTGGGTGTCCTTGTAGAACACTGTGAAAATAAAGCCTTGGAAACATATTAATATAAAGGTGCCTCAAATAGACTGAAACGATGATGTCTGAAATACTGCATGTCTTACAGCTGGTTTTGGTTTCTATCTTAGGTGTTGGAAGATAATGACTATGGTCGTGCAGTGGACTGGTGGGGATTAGGAGTGGTCATGTATGAAATGATGTGTGGAAGATTACCATTCTACAACCAAGATCATGAGAAACTATTTGAACTGATACTAATGGAGGACATAAAATTTCCTCGAACTCTGTCTGCAGATGCAAAATCATTACTATCAGGCCTACTGATAAAGGATCCAAATAAGCGGTAAGTGAAACTACTGGGGTATACAGGCATAATATATACTCTAATTATACTGGGTAATGTAAAAATAGGCCAGTGTGCCTGGTCTTCCTGGCTGAAGGACCTGTCAGTCACAGGAATGCAGCCATACAGATTTCCACTTTCTCAATACAGCAACGATATACGAAGTGAGTTTAATGAGCAAAAGGGAAAGAAGCACGTGGAAGAGAACACGTTTTTAATCATTCATAGCAAACACAGGGATCTTTTCAGGTTTGGATTGGTTTGGATTGTGTACTGGAGCAAAGGGAAAGCTCTCAATTGTTTTTCAGACTATGACTTCACCCTGAGTTTGCTGTAGTGTCTCATGGGGACTACGGCACTTTTTCTTGGAAGTGATCATGCCAGAAGATGTGTATAGACAGCCACAGCTAAATTTGTTAGGGCATACTAGACCATGTGAACTAGTAACTTGTTAAAGAATACATCTTCTGAGGGAAACTTAAATACAGTGTTTTGAAAGCAAGTATCGCCCAGCTGCTGCCTGTGCCCTTCTGTGGTGGGCTTTTCCCTCTAGGATTGTTGCCTAGGAGAGCCATTTTCCAGTAGCTTGTGCACTGGACCAGCAGTGTCCCGTCCCCTGTGGTGCTGAAACAAATCTCTGTCTTTGTAAATCAGTGGGATTTGTCTGTAGGTCCTCTCTTTTCCCCCATCTTTCTTGTTCTTGTGAGTCTCTCGGCATGTTTTAAGGCTGCAGGCATTCTTCTGTTGTCTCCCTTCTCTAGTCCTTCATCCTCAGGTTCTTCTCAAGAGGTTTTCAGTAGTGGGCATTACTTCCTGGTGCTCAGGGCAGGACTGGTTGCCGTGTCTCTCTGAGGGATTTGCCTGCACGCTGCCAAGTGCAACAGCCAGCACAACACAAGTGGTCAGCCTTTCTGCTGCCGCCCAGCAATGCCTGTTTAACTGAATTTACTGTGTGCAGTGAAAGCAAACTGTGACCAACCAGACAAATACATGGAGAGTAAAGTATAAATGTGTTCCTGTAGCAACTCCTAATGCATTTTAACCTCCAACCAATCTGACCCATCAAACATATTAACCTTTAGAATTGAAAAGATGCTTCCTTGTAATTAATCTTTGCAGACAGTAGTGTTTATTACAGACTTAAATTTACAAGCTTATTCATATTCAAGTTCTGGTGCTAGCTGATGCTAATTAGGGTGGGAGCACAGAGGTTAACTGCAACTCAGCTTTTCTCTGAGCAGCTGTATGGGAAGATACTGAGAGAAATCTGGAGACTGCAGGCTAACTGGGATGCTTTGCAGAGATGTGGAGAATTTTACAATGGGTGGTTGAGAAACAAAGAGGAATACAGCTTAGAAATGAAAATAACTTTACATCCAGTTACTGCAAGACTGAGGTAGTAGTCCTGATTATATTTTTGTAATTTGGCAGCAGGGTAATACCAATACAGATTTTTTGGTATTTTTGGTATTTATTTGGTAACCAATACAGGTTGTTGGAATTATTGCTCCTTGCAATACATGCTTTAGAGAGGAATTTATCTTACTTAAAAGGTTGCTTTTAAACTTTGTGTTTATATCTGTAGCAGTTCTTTTTAATGAAACACTAACTGCTCGTGTCACTCTTGTCAATATTTAACATTATAGGCTGCTTCTTCACTTAAGATTAGCTTTTCTTCTGTCACAACTTCTTTCTGTTAGATCAATAGAATAGCCAGTCTCAGGAAGAAGTTAGATGAGAGCTGAGAAGTCCTGGAAATCCACGTGCTGTTGAAAGGGGCAGAGGTTCCCTTCACTGTGTGCGTGGTTCTTTCTCCACCAACAGCAGCAGCTCAAGGGAGCTCGCTAAACTTGTTGAGTCAAATTTGACTTGCTAATGCAACAAAAAGCAGCCAACTCTTTCTCGTTTTCTTATTGTGGGGTTAGTTTTCTTCCAGGTTAGTGGCTGCTCAGCTCACAGTCATCAGTGGGAATGATGCTGTAGATGCAAGTGACCGGGGAGAGGTATGGGCAGGGCTGGGACCTTCCTCTTTTGGCAGCAGTGACCACTTCTGTGACCTCAGATCACCTTGGGCAAGTTCACCCAAAGTAGGTGGAATTCACTTCCTAAGATGATTTACCGGAGAGAGTCTGGCTTTGGCAAGCCATGGCCCACAGTGAATAGTGTGGTTATTTACAATGGCCTTTAAATAACCTTCTCAGCAGGCCTACAATTTATTAATTTATACTAATTGACTCACATTGAGACTATTTTATGGTAATTGGTCAATTGTTAGAGCACCCAGATGCAACAGCAGTGAACAGTGTATAAAAATGGCGCATGAGTCATTACTGATTCAGTGCCTGGCACCTCCGTGGCAAAATTTATGTCAGCATTGTTGGGTTGGTTTTGGTTTTTAATAGTGCCAGAACATTAGTTGGTCTTTCAAGAAAACTAAACTTCAGTACATTTTTAAAATGCATGAATTCTTAAAAAAGCTCATCTTGGACAGTAATGAACACTGTAGTTGGAATAGTCAAAAAGAATAGACCATGGCATGGATACTCCTACTATCATATTTTATCTCAAGATCACCTGAATTCATATTAAACAGGTAAGAATTACATATTAAATGAGTGAGAGTTGTTCCCAGTTAGACAAAAACAAATGGTCACTTGTCCAACCATTACAATAACTTAATCTTCCTTTAAGAGTAATGCTTGTTTAATATGATTTTTTTCTACTTTCTTTAGACTTGGTGGAGGCCCAGATGATGCAAAAGAAATCATGCGTCATAGTTTCTTTGCTGGAGTAAATTGGCAAGATGTATATGATAAAAAGGTATGTCTTTATAAGACATTGAATAATCTGGCTTCTGCAAGGTGCTTTCAACTGATAGTCATAGGACTGCTGCTCTCTGAAGTTAGTCAAGTTTTTCTTTGCAAATTTTTGTGTTAATACAAATAAATAATTATTCTGAACTAGCTGTACTTACTTAATCTTTTGTTTTTCAGTAATAATTTGTCAGTGGACCAAAAATAAATTTTGCAAACGAACCTAACCTCAGCAAAGATTTTTCTTCTATTATGTAAATGTCCAAATCTTTTCCTTTCCTTTTTTCTTTCTGGGCCTTCAGGAGAAAAGTAGGTATAAGACGTCAAGATAATGTATGGAAGTTTATCTTGAATTGTCTTTTTATTTTTTCCATTTACTGAAAAGCTCTTTTATGGAAATAGGAAAATTAAGTGATTGGAAGGGACTCAATAGCAAAAATCTACTTTCTGATTGTTTGTGTTTAAGTAGAAGTCTTTTTCAAACTTATTTTAAGAGAGATATCTAAGAAAATTAAAATAGAATTAAAACACTGAGCCAGAACAGCTTGTGGAGAAAGTGAGTACTGGGAATTCAGTTGGAACAGTTTTCTCTAAACCCAGTCCCGTTCCTGTAATGATCAACACTTTGGGGATGATTTTAGAAAAGGAATTTATCTCACTTAGTAGTGAACTCAATTTGACTTCAGTTGTTTCATATACAGAAGCTGATTTTTCTCTCAGTACTTGTGTAAGAATTTACTTGTTGCTATAAACTCCTTCTATTTTGATAGTCTTTTTTTTTTCCCCAACTGTTTTACATTGTTAATCTGCCAGTTGATCTGCGTAATTTTAAAAGATAGATTTTTCTCCTTTTTTTTCTTTGTTCAAGTAAAAGGAAAATGGAAGACATACGAATGAGCAGAATATGTTTATGCTACAATGTCAATGATACAAACTGTTTTTTCAGTTGTTGTTGAACTGGAATTTAAAAAATGTGTGGTGGTTGGTGTGGTACTTCTCTGACAAATATCGGAATTGAAATAAGAGCCTGTATATGATGATACAAAATATGGTACTTTGAAGTTACTTGATACAAGTGTGGTTTTTTTTCCCTGGCAGTATCATGAGGTTTCAAGTAGCAGTAAAATAGATAATCGGAGCAAGTATATTAATCAGGTTACTTTATGAGCTCAACCACTGGTTGATTATGTAAGGACATTGTAGAGAAGCACTCTGAGGATAAAGTCTAAAAACACAAGTTGAGGACCTTTCTGGAGTTTAAAAAAACCCACTAAAATTGATTGGATTGCAGAGTGCTAGGAGTGGGTGAGAAAGAAAAAGCTGTTACATTACTCTTGCTCTGTTGAAAAAGATTTGTTAATTATTTTACATTAGAAATATAGCTCTCAATTCTAAACTGTGTTCATATTTAGTTCAAAAAATGTAGATACTCTCAAATTTAAGCATGCACTTTGAGTATTTCCAAATCAGCCTGGCAAATGTCTTTCAGTCAAGATTTTATTCTGAGCTATTAAAATAAAAGGAAGTATTTTTCAGGTATAAATTTACACATATATAAAGATTATATAAACTTACACAAATACAAATAAATATATAAATGCAGGTATTTTGCCTTTATGCTCATGGAGGTGGATATATGGCTTATTGGAGTACTATAACTGGAGAAATTGTAGTCATTCATTGTTTACTCTGTCCACTGTTGCTTTGAGAAACTAAACTTGCCAGTAAAAAATCAGTTGAATTTCCTCAGTTGAACAGTTAACTTCAAGGATCATAGAAATTGCTTTTGAGCAGTATTGGCACACAGTGTGTTCTTTATGGAAAAATAACTCATGAAAATGACTTCTGACAGTATGTTTCTGTTTAATTACAAAGTAGTTGTGTTCCTATTACAAAGCTATTTGTCTGGTTGGGTAAAATACCCATTTGTTCCTCCTGCAAACACAGTCTTATCCGTTCTGAAGTATGCGGAGTGTAAGACTGTGCTCTAAAATACAAATTTCAAGCATAATAATAAGGTTAATGAACTTTGGCTAAGTATATTTATTAGAATGCTTATATGAATATTTTTGAGGTTTTAGTATTCTAAAACAACTCAGGAGGAATCTGCATGAAACAAATTTGATTTTCAAATAGATTTATTCTATGCTGGCTTCTGTTGCTGTTTATTATTAGTAGTATGGTCTTCAGCAGTAGGGTCACTTCATGAAATGATAGTTGATATAATTATTTGCATAGAAAAAATATTTCACAGTATTCTTGCCTGAGGTTTATGCACCATGAAATAGTAATTTTCTGGCTGCATTTCAGGAGTGTGTTCTGTTAGCAATGAAAGAACTGAAGTTCACATTCAAGAGTAACAGAACCAAGATATCATGTGTATTCCAAGTAGTTGCTGAAGGATAGTTTTGTACATGTACACACTGTGTTCCTGTGCCACTAATTTTATCATTTTTACTAGAGATTAAGTACATCTCTGTACTTACTAGGTTATCACTTTACTGGTGTGATTAGAGACAGAATTATATATCTGTAAACTTAGAGTATTCCATGCAACAAACAGTAGCTCTGTCAAGTCAAGGATCCAAATGGTCAAACGGAATTATTAGCTCTCTGATACTGCTAACACGTTAAACTTAATTTGGTACTACACAATGATAATAAAATGTTGTATGGCACGCTGGAGCAGAGAAGGTCATTGCCTTTAAATGAAAAATTTATAGTAGTTAGCATTTGTGATCAGATGTATTTATTTTTGGCAGAAAAACCACGAGGGCATATGAAAGAGAGCAGCCTGTGCCAGGTTCTTCCTGTGATCATCTCAGATCTGATGAGTTTTTATGTCTGTGCCCAAGTATAAGAAAATTAATAGTTTGGCAAACTCTGAAGACTTCAAAAGCCCATATACTTCTAAATAAAATATTTGTTTATTTGTTTTACATCTAAAAAAATATTTGTTGCTAGAATCAGGAAGCCTTTTGAAATTTCTCTGTTACTCATTTAAGAATTGTTTTAGCATATTTTTATTTGGGTTGCAGAAATGTTCTTAAGCTGTTGGATGTTCTATCTAGGGTCTTTTGCTGAAAAAAACCTACATGGGCATTAATTTAAAGGTGGGAATTTGGGCATGTCTTCAGGCTTGCAGCTTGAAGCCCTCAGGTAGCCTCAGGGCAAAGGAGATCCAGACCTTTTAGTGAAGCCTGAGTTTCCTTCTGCATGTAATATGGATGAAAGAAGAAAGAAACCATATGGGAATATGGTCTGAGATACATGTATCTCTGATTTCTTATAATACCTCTGACTGTTCCTGAAGCAGATTAGGGAGTGCTAACAGAATCACAGAATCATTAAGATTGGAAAGGACCTTTAAGATCATCTAGTCCAGCCATCAACCCAACACCACCAAGCCCACTAAACCATGTCCTAAAGTGCCACGTCTACATGTTTTCTGAACACTTCCAGTGATGGTGACTCCACCACCTCCCTGGACAGCCTGTTCCAGTGCTTGACCACTCTCTCCATAAAGAAATTTTTCCTAATATCCAATCTAAACCTCCTCTGTTGCAACTTGAGGCCATTTATTTGTCAGTACTGGGAAAGGAGTAGGGACAAGTGGCAGTAATGGTTAAAGCTGGGGTGTCTGACTTGGCTGTAGGGGCAGCACTTGCAAAGGCACCTATCTCAGTGTGGAAGCAGGGACTTTCAGCATGAAGTCTGACAGCTGCAAGAAGCTGTTCCTTGCTCTTCAGCTGTGACTACCTTTGCTTTATTTAAGACACAACAACAGCAGCTGATGAAACTCCATGATTCAAGCCTTGCGTTCAGGCCTGGAAAAATCTGCAATATAACTATAGTCTTAAATGCATGTTTAAGTACTTTTGTGTATCAGATTTTAAGGGAAAGGCCAGGAGGGAAATAGGAAAATACCAACATCTGTTTTTAGGCCGTTGCCATTTGAGTCGTACTATTTTTGTACAATTATCTGCAGTGCAACAAAGCCTGTAGAAATGACCCTCGTTACTTGCTTTTGTGTTGTTGCCATGCGAAGTTGTAAAAAGATCAGAAAACTGCTAACCAGTCTGATCTTTTCATTGTGTTTCCAGGGATACTTTAAACTATATGACCTAGTGGTTGATTACCACCCCTTCCCCCAGCTGCTTGGATTTATGGGAGGAAAATATACATAAGGGTGTCTGATTCTTAAACTTAAATTGTTATTGTAGTCCTGGGGGTTGTGGCTTCTCTCTATCCATTGTATCAGCATTGTATCACTTGGAAAACAGAGTTTGTCCATGGGCAAACCTCCTTGCTGAAGCCTGCCTTCCTGTGGATTTGTGTTGTGTGTCCTTCTACCACTGAAATCCCAGCTCTTCCTCCTCCCCTTGCCTAGGACCACCACATGCACTATCCTAGCAGGCTCTGTGGGGTATTTCCAGCTCCTGGCCGTGCTGCAGCTGCTGGCTGGGCAGCCGGCTGCCCGCTTCTGGGCCAAGTGTGGGGATGAGCCAGTCCCTACATGAATGCTTAGTGACCGGCTTCAAGCTCAACTCAAGTTACCGTCTTCGCTTCAGTGGAAGCTCTAGTTTGAGGGGGGATGGACAGGGATGTCTTTCTTCTATTCAGTAAACTTAGATTAAGTAATTCTGTGGGAAGGGTCTCTGTTCCTAGTCTTTTCTTCATCATGGTGAGTTTGCCCAGCCATTCAAAATTTATTGGGGAAGGACGTACAGACTGACAGAGTGCATAATCTCATCCGCTCCTGTTTCCTTTGGTAGCTGAGCTAATATCAGAAAAAGGACAGAAAATTATTGTTAGGAAAGGAAAATTGGCATTTTAAAGGACTTAGATATTTTTAATTAAAATACTGTTGTTGATGATCTAATGTTGAAAGACTGAACTAAGGTTTTGTGTTGTTACTATCTCCACATGATTTTTAGGGTACCAAGCATTTGCTTTGATGGGAGCTAAAAGATGTATAAATGAGGGAACATGTATTGACAGATACGC